TTCGTTTTTCAACAAAACTCGAAATCAAAATTCGAAGCCATATTAGCCTCACAATATCAAATCCATTTTCGTTTCCTGTATCCCAGAATACTTAGTTTGCAAGTTGAACGAATGCGGTATTTGATGTCTCTCAGCAGTCGTTTGTTGGAGGCGTGCTAGTGGCGCCAGCTGTTATAACGTAGCTCAAATACTAAGAGAAATATCACGAATATTGATTCGATATTAGAAATCCAATGTCAGTGCAATATTGGTTCTGGCATATTTCATTAGTTATATCTATCTGAAATGGGTCGCATATTGATGAACTAATATTGGCTGAATAAAAATACAAAATATTGATACAATATGTTTTCCAAGATTGATTCGATATTGGGAATACAATATCAGCCCATCATGAAAATTGGCATATTGTATTCGTTAATATTTCGCCAATATCAAATAAATATTGGCAAACTGATATCGGCTGGTCACAAAATTTCAATGTTATTACAACATTGGCACTGAATTGATTATTGAATATCGAAATGATATTGAATCACCAATATCAGTGCAATATTGCTGGACAACGAAGAGCAATATTCACCAACCATCATAAATCTATATTGATGCAATATTTTTTTCCATGATTGATTCAATATTGGAAATACAATATTAGCCCAATCATGGAAATTGACATTGTGATCGTCAATATTTCACCAATATCGAATAGATATTGGTAAATAAATATCGGCTGGAAACAAAATTTCAATGTTATCACAACATTGCTGGACAATGAAATGCAATATTCACTAACCATCATAAATTGGATATTGAGTCAATATTTTTTTCCAAGATCGATTTGATATTGGAAATGCAATATCAGCCCATCATGAGAATTGACATATTGTGATCGTTAATATTCCTCCAATATCAAATAAATATTGACAAATTGATATCGGCTGGTCACAAAATTTCAATGTTATTAAAATATTGGCAATGGATTGATGATCGAATATTGAAATGAAAAATTGGTTTGATATTGGTGCAATCTAGTAATTCCATATTCAATATTCGAATATTGGGCTAATATGAAACCAAGTTATAGCCAATATGATGTTCTACCTGGGTCGCATTCTTGTTCCGTGCGAAAAGCTACTTTACACCTCAACAGCTTCTCATGATCTACAAAGCGCAGATACGGCCTGTTCTAGAAAATTGTTCCCACATATGGGGTTCAGCACCAAAACATACGCTGATGCTCTTAGATTCCATCCAGAGAATAGCCATCCGCCTGGTGGGTGACGCCACACTCACTCACTTACTTTTTGACATCATTGAAACACCGTATTTTTTCTATCGATACTTCCACGGGAAATGTGCTTCGGAAATCTCTGCTATCATCCCTTCACTAGCAATACCAATCAGACGAACTAGACAAGCCCAGTCAGCACATCCTTCCGTTGTCAACCTCGAAAGATGTCGAACAGCACTTTATCAAGACTATTTCATCCATAGAACGGCTAGGCTCTGGAATTCATTGCCTGTGGAAGAATTCCAAACAACATATAATCTCCAAAAGTTCAAAAAAAATTCCAATACCTACCTCCTGTCCCTATCCTCCCTAGGAACGCACGATGTTCTTTGAACATTATAGGGATTCCCTTTCGTGCGCTCCAAGCGATAAAAAAAAGTTCAGATAATCCCTAGTTTTTCAGTAGATTTTTCATCGATGGACCTTGTAACAACATGGCAACATAGTCCATATCACACATCTTCATATTGAACTTGTTTCTGATACAGGGTTTCGTCACACACTAGTTTCAATTTTACCAATAATCAGCACGATTTATTGACAATAGAAGCGGTAGACCCAATTATAGTAGGTGGCTATGATAAAAAACCAAGTGCAGATTGTTTTCATTATCTTTGTCACCTACCTGTCGAATTAACAGTTTTTTCATATTTACCTTATCCATAATGATAATCCAGGATATCAAAACTACGAAAATTTAGAAACCAACTTATATTCCAACCATATCTAATTTTTCGTAGTTTTTTTATCCTGATTAGTATTTGCCTTCGTATGAAAAATTCGTAAATTCGGCAGGAAGGTGACAAGGCTTAAAAACATCCTACACTCGCTTTTTTCATAGCCACCTAGTATCCACATAGCGTCTATAGTTAATAAAAATACTGCTGCATATTGGTAAATGTTGAACAGAACTTTGGGTTATATCTAAATAATTACAGCTTATTTTGAAAATTTGACTACCCTATAGTGCCTTCTTCGTGAAAGAATGTATAAGAGACCATTTTTACTTTTCCGATGAATTGAAAGTTAGCTGAGATACAGGGGTGATCCCAAAATGCAACATTTTCAATTCCGCCCTGTATCTCAAGAACGAAGCGAGTTGTGAGTTTCGCGAAAAATTAGCCAACGTTGACGAAAATAAGTAAGATATCCCGTTAGGAAATCGAAAATGGGACATCCTGTATCTTCGAATTCTATCGCCTACTTGAAATGCATTCGATTCGAGCTGATGCAACCAAATCCCTCGGACCGAAGTTCACCCAATTAATAGTATGATTGGATCCGGGACGCCTCAAGGTAAGAAAAAGAGGCGATATTAAAGAGTGGAGTGACTGGAGTCCCACGAGTGTTTGTCTTAATTATTAGCGGAGCTCAAGACAAGCTAGTCGTTAGAATAACTCCCAGTAGACCCGGGAAACTGTGCATCTCATCAACCACCTAATCCCGATCCCGAAAGTCTCCTCTCTGTCTTCGTGTCGGTCGCTCTACTAATAAACGTGCTCACTTGACAGAACATTTATCTTAATGCGACCCAATATGTCAATTCTTTCAATAAGAGTGCACTATTGATTTATAATGTTTTGCTTGTGTTCTCTTATTGGCGTTGCTTTACAAGCAAAATGCCATTTTTTAAAGTCCCCTTTATATTGCAACTTACAGCGCCAAGGGTGCTGATGTGTCAGTTCTCACTGAAGGTATATTAATTCGCTTTCGCTAGATTGCCATATAAAATTTCTCAGAAATTGTCATTTTCGCTTTAAAGATTTTTTTATGATAAAGAAACCATCACAGCGTGATGCATTAAAAACTCATCTCGAGATGATTTCAAATATTTCTCTTAATCGCAAATGGACAGAAATATCCCTAATAGCACACAACGTACTAGGGACGTCCCTAATTGGTACAATTCACGTCCGAATGTCCCGGACCAAAAATAGGTGTCCTTGAGACGTCTCATCCCGTACATCTCATGCACTGTCCGAGCTAGGACGTCCACGGAATGTCCCTGCTGGTACATCATTTCAAATGTCCTAGAAATAGTATCCCTCAGACGTCCCACGTGGTACATATTGTAGAATGTCCATGCAAGGACGTCCTTGGCATGTCCCTGATGAGATATGATTTTAAACGTTCCCGAGTAGTACATATTCTGCCATGACTCCAGATCTTATGTAATGTCCCTTCTAGACAACCATAAAATGTCCCTGATGGTACATTCCCTCAAATATATCTTTGCACAGGCGCCCTTAATATCTCCAGGATCGTATTACAATCGAAATGTCCCTTAGGGACATCCTTCGAATGTCCCTTAGGGATATCCTTCGTACTCTTCCAATGTCCTAGAAATAACGTCCTATGGACGTCCCAGTCGGTATTTTCAATATATTGTCCCTGCGAGGACGTTAACTTACACCTCGCCGACGAATGATTTCTAGTAGGCTATAAGTACTCCTCGTCAATGTACTTCACGTAAGTCCATTGGACATCCTTGAGAAACTTTTTGGGGACCTCCTACGGACCATCAACTCAACTGGATGTCCTAATCAGTTATGCAAGATCTGGTCCGAGAGGGACTCAGAAAATTCGAATTCAAGAATAATTCGTACGTCCCTGGGACATCCTAAGGACATCCAATTGATATCCCTCAGCCTTGCTGATGGGTTGTCCTATGGATGTCCTGAGGATGTCCTCTGTAGTGCTTGATGAGGAATACTGTAGGATTTAGGTATTCGATAGTTGTCCCAGGGACATTCCTCAAGGACGTCCCTAGTTGGTCCTCAAGTGGGACATTTGTGCGTACCACAGACGTCCAATGGACGTCCACGGTTCCAAATTCGAACGTCCTATGGACGTCCTGAATTTCCCGACAGGACGTCCAAAGGATATCCATGGGACATAAGTGTGTTATTAGGGATACAGATTTTAATTCAATTCAATTCAATTCAAAATATGCTTTATTGTCATAAGTAAAAACACACTTGTTGACAAAGCTTTAAATTACATGAAAATAAATAACACAAAATACGACAATAGTACGACAAATAACAAACAACATTCAAAAGCTCGTATAGAGCTATGTCTACCTAGTTGAAAATATATTAACTTCATTTCAAATTTAAAAAAGATATACCTATTCAGTAAATCAAAACTCCATTGAAAAATATTCATCCAGGCTATAGAGTGGAGTTTAGACGAGTATAGTGCTTTGACTTTAGTGCGGAACTTTTTATCACATAATATTTCTTTGATGTCAGTTGGAAGGTGATTGAATATTTTTATTCCATTATAAATGATCGAGTTCTTGACCATAGTGGTTCGAAGTCTTATCAACTTAATTTGACCATTCTGCCTTGTATTGTATCGTGACGAGACAAAGTTGTTACGCATATTTGTTTTTTTGAATTAGAGACGCTGTTTCTAATATGTATAAACAAACCACAGTTGAAATATTATAATTTTCAAATAAGTCCCTACAGCTATCTCTAGATTTCGCCAGGCCCATATATCTGGGGGCTCGTTTCTGCAAAACAGAACTCTACTGGAATAAATGATCACTGCAGGCCCCCCCAAAATGCTATTCTATATCTCAAGTGAGACTCAATTAAGGCAAAATATGCTGTTCTAGCAGATGAAGATCCTAATTCCTGGGCCGAACCCAAAGCCAGTACTCATGGAAATCGACGAATCATCGAGTTTTAATGTCGAAGCAATGGATTCGTGGTCGAGATTATTGAGAATGAATAATCCTAAGTTCGTCGATAATTTTGTCGGGCAGTTCAAGTCTACTTTGAGATGCACCTTTTGTGGCAATTGTTCGGAGACGTTCGACCCAATTTGGAAGTTTTCTCTAACGATACCACAGCAATCAGGCCAACTCAAGTTGTCTCATTGCATGGACTCGTTTACCAGTGTTGAGATTTTAGACGGCGAGGAGAAACCAACTTGCTCGATGTGTAAAGAAAAAGGAGAATGTTTGAAGCCATTATTCATCCACAAGTTCCCTAGAATTTTGGTTATACATCTGAAACGTATCTCGCTGACTGAAGAGTTCAGTGAGAAACTAAACACAATTGTCGGCTTCCCTTGATCTTGGACATGAGCCTCTATGCAGCTGAAGACATCGTTCCATATACTTACAATCTGTACGCTATCTCAAATCACAGCGGTACCACCTACAGCGGACACCACACAGCCTACTGTAGACATCTTTATTATGAAAATTTGGCACGAGTACAATGATTCTCTGGTTTCTTCAATTCCATCGAATTCTCTTGTCAGTGGAGATGCTTATATTCTTCTTCTTCTAACCACCAAGAGGCTCACCTCGTGCTCACCCAAAATACGAATTCGAGTTCAAGACGCCTCTACTGGTGAGAACAGATCACAACATGAACAACGTGATGGTGACTCAGTGAAGGGCTACTGCACCGTAGCTGATCCTGATGACACCCTTCGTACTGTACACCATTAACTTCTGTGGAGTGAATGAAGTGGAAATCCAAACATTATTTATTATGTTACATTCAGATGTATAATTGAACACCTCGGTGCAAGAACAGGCCAACTCAATTTTTTTATAATGTCGGGGAATAGAAAAAAACTTAATATTTTTGAGAAACTTGAAAACAAAATCATGCTAAATGATATGAATCCTTTAGACTTACGTTAGATACGCTGTATTAACTTAGATACTAATTTTTATTCACATTGTAGAAGCCAAAAAGAACTTTGAAAAAATGGAGTTGCATGTTTCTTGCATCAACATCGGAAGAATCGCTGACGTTTTCTGCATCTTGATCTCCGTTAACATTGCCAGAATTTGGTTCCTCTTCGTCAACAGATATGTTTTTGGAACATATTTACTCCCCGAATCTTGAAAAGGCTCACTTTCACTTCCCGATGGCATTACATTGAATTGCATGAAACAAATTATCAAACTAATCACGCCACACACGATGGAAGACGTGGGAAGGCTTGTCGCTAATAACCTCACTCCGACATCTCCCACTACACGCGTACATTTCGGTGCTAAAATCGGGTAACTCCTGGAGTTGCCCGACTCTAGCACCGTCATGGCTCACATTTCAGTGCTAAAATCGGGTAACTCCTGGAGTTGCCCAACTCCTGCACCTCAATGGCTCATCAGGAAAATCCTTTCCCGTGTTTACTTAATAGGAAATTGTTGGATTCACTTGATTCTTGATGCACCAAAAGATGCGCAAGAAATAATTCTATATGTTGAATACAATAACCTAATTTCGGCATAAAATGGAGTTGCCCGGTTCTTGCACCAAGGTCTTCAATTAATAAATGAAAGAGGTGTATATTTCACTTCGACGAAAGTTTGTCCCTATTCTCAACGTTTTTCGTGGTAAGATTTACAGCGATTCTCATAGTTTGTACAATTCTTTTTTCTGTGTGTAACCCCGCACAAGTTTCGACTTATAGGGAGTTCGTTCTGAACTTCGCAGTAGCGGTTTCCCAAAAAACTTTGTAGATTTGCTCGAATTGTCTGTCTTCTTCACGATATGCCGACGCGTTCTTCTTTTCCCTTCCTAGATTCGGCAAAGGCCCCCGACCGCAATGAAACTTTAACGCAAACGCGCAGCGCAGCGGACTTTAAAGCATCAATGATGCAACGGCTCCTGCAAGCAGTTGACGAATGGTTATGTCCATAAGTGGAGATCAATCTTTATAAATGGACGTGTGTATCGGGGTCGAAGTCGGATGTGGAAACTGCGGACCACTCGAATTTAGAATGCATAGAAATGTCATCGGGACGACGAGCTGTAATATTTTATGATTAGCCCTCGACTGGGAACAATCACTGCAGGAGACAGCCCAGTGTTGCCGTTCCAGGAATAGGTACACTACGTATACCTTCTCCCAGAGTGCTGTTCCTGGGTGAAATTCGTTTTGTACTGGTGTCAATTGTCAAATTGTAATAATTGATCGATCTTTAAGAAAATCGAATAAATCTATAATATCGCACACACATACAAAGAATTTCTTCCTTTGATGATTTATGCTTTGAATCAATCTTGTTTATATATGCCGCCAGACATTCCACCCGTTGAGAGTCGAATGCCCGAAATCGTCTTCCGTCAACGCACTATCAGACGAATTCTGCTTGGTCTCAAAACGAATATGGCTAACGGTCCTGATGGAATTCCACCCATTATCCTCAAAAAATGTGCACCAGAATTAACACCGATTCTCTGCAAGTTGTTTACTGTCTCGGTCGGGTATATTTTTCCATCATGCTGAAAGACAGCTAGAGTCCAACCAATCCCCAAAAAAGGGAACGAGAACCTGCCCAACAACTACAGGCCCATTGCCCTGTTATCAGTTATCTCCAAAGTGATGGAGAAAGCCATCAATATTGAGCTTATCAAATATCTGGAGAGCTCGGGAATCATCAATGATAGACAATACGGCTTTCGCCACCGAAGATCTACTGGAAATCTACTTGCCTACGTCTCCCATTTATGGCAAGCTTCATTAGAAAAACACGGGGAATCTCTTGCTGTCGCGTTGGACATATCGAAAGCATTTGACCGTGTTTGGCACGAAGGACTCCTCCACAAACTACCATCATACGGCTTACCACCTCAGCTATGCCATCTCTTATTGAGTTTTTTTTCAGGCAGATCGCTTCATGTGGTGGTGGACGGTGTATCGTCTGATACAATTGGCATCAATTCCGGCATTCCACAAGGATCAACTTTGGCACCAACATTATTCCTTCTTCATATCAATGATCTGTTGGGAGAAACAACTTGCCCCATTCACAGCTTTGCAGACGATAGTACCCTCCATACTGCGTTCTCTTCAAAAATTCCCATTTCTTCCCAGGAAACTAAGAACTCACGGCGCAGACAGGACAATGCTGTCAATGAAGACCTTACTGAAATCACAGCTTGGGGAACCAACAACCTCGTTGAATTCAACGCCACCAAAACTCAAGCCTGTATTTTCTCTAGAAAGGCGGAACTCAGTATGCCCGACATTGTAATGTCTGGCACCACCATCCCCACCAAGCTCACCATATCTATGCTCGGTATTTCCATCAGCAACACTCTTTCATGGGATAATCATGTCAGATCCATCGCAAAAGCTGTTTCACAAAAACTCGGATTCTTGTTCCGTGCGAAAAGCTACTTTACACCTCAACAGCTCCTCATGATCTATAAAGCGCAGATACGGCCTGTTCTAGAATACTGTTCCGACATATGGGGTTCGCCACCAAAACATACGCTGATGCTCTTAGATTCCATCCAGAGAAGAGCCATCCGCCTGGTGGGTGCCCACTAAACATCGAACATTACATATTATCGCAGCTACATAGTTTTCAGCATGCCTGTACAAGGTTATCTTCCAAAAATTGTTTTAATGTTTCGGCAATGTTTAGAATTATAAAATTAGTCGATATAAGTTACTACAACATTTGAATATCAATGATCGAAAATGTCAATATTGATTGAATGTTTACCGAGAAACATTGCACGAAGATATTTCAACTAATGCTTCGACAACATTACCTGAATTATCAGATGTAATGTTTGACTAAATAATATGGCTGCATCTTTATGGAGGCAATCTACTTGCTATATTTAATTCGAAACATTAAGGAGCGGTTACAAGAGTAATATAAGGGAATTAATATAATTGAAATGTTACATACCACAATCTTGAAGTTATATACCATATTGTCTCGTGCCACTTGTCTTTCTTATTGACTTGTGACGTGTGACACATGCCGTGGTTCTATCCGCCTAGGTCAGGTGATATCCGTCGTGTGCTGGGTACAAGGCAAGATGGACACGTTTTTGATATTTTCAATGTCGCAACCATGAGTGCCATTTGTTGGTTTCCACCACACATTTGAATGATAGTTTGTTGGATTTCCCCATGATTAATTTCCACATTAAAACCCATCACTATATGATTTTTATAATGTGAAAGTTGGTGACATAACCTTTTTTATCCCCATGTAAGCACTCTTATTCTCCTAACTCTTGTTGATTGTACTAATAAATATTTTAATTTTAGGACAATTATTTAATTTCTGATATGAGGCTGATGATGGACATATACAGTCTGTCCAAGATAAGGTTGAACAGCATGGGGATCTCGAAAATTCTTAAAATTATTTTTAGTTTTTTAGTTATATCGAAAAAAGTTAATTTTTGGAATATATATTTCATTTTTTTTCTCCGTTATTATTAGAGATACAGAAAAACTGAAAATACTTTTTCATGGCAACTTTTGATGACGTTTAACGTGGTGATACCAATTTTTCTATGCGACGTTTCGTATTCGTAGAACCATCATCAACTTTTGTTTTTTAAACACGGTCTTGATAATTTTTTCACAGATTCTGAAAGGTTTTTTCATTCTGAATTCAACCATGTATTATACAAGGTGAATTATGTGTGTTTCGACCTATTTTTAACCATCATCAATGTTTTCTCGAAATTCCAAAGGAGAAATGCCATCAGTTCCACTTATTTTGAAGGGAAATTAGTCAACACACTAATACCTCATCAACTGGTCTCAATCAACAACCCATTTCATTTTGCGGAAACAAAAATTCCATCCATACAAATTCAAAATATTTCAAGCGCTAAAACCAGGCGATGGCGAAAGGCGCAGGACATTTTGTGAGTGGTATACTAGGAAATGTCAAAATTTTGCAGATTTTCCGCGAACAGTCATCTGAACTGATGAAAGCATGGTCACTTATCATGGTATCTTCGATAGAAAAAATACACATTATTGTTCACGAGATAATGAACATTTATACATTACAGCGAGACACCAACACCGTTTCGGCTTTTATATGATTGTGGGTTGCAATATTTGGTACACGAATTATTGGTCCTTTTATTCACCATGAAATACAGATTTCCTAACGTTATAGAAATTTGCTTGAGCATCATCTTGAGGAAGCTCTGGATGATTTATCGATTGCGGAAGTTCAGAACTGTTGGTTTCAACAAGATGGCGCTCCAGTACATAATTCCAGAGAAGTTCGTGCGTTTTTATCCAGAACAATGGATTGGTACTCATTCTGTAGTCCCTTGG